ATCTATTTTTATTACACTCTGATTACTTTATTAACATACAGTGAATATATACTAAATCTTTTACTTCAGCTTAAGTAATTCGGAATTTTTGACGGAATTGTTGTCGGAACTAGGACTTAGAAGATAAGTCAAATTAAATATTTCGATAACCCAGTAAATTCAAGTTCGAAATTTCAATATTTTATTTTCGGAGGGAGGGGAAATGTTTTCAGTTTTGGTCCATTATACTAAGTATATTTGCTTCGATTTTTTATTTTTCCATAAAAGCGAAAATTTTACGCATGGTATACATATAACGCATAGCTTCAAATTAAAATTTAATAATATACAGAGTGGTTATAATTAAAGTTCCACATTGAAACGGTCATAAAAGGAAAACTACTGGATCAAATGTTATCAAACTTGGAAATCGTGTAAAGGAGGTCATGGGAATTTATTTATTTTCCGCGAAAAAAAGGAAGTTCGAAACCTCACCACCAGGGAGGGAAATGGCGCTGTATGCAATATTGTTAAACGAAATATGGGTCGGAATCTAACTTAACCTTTTGTTAAACGGGTTTAATATGTTGTATACCCTTAAGAAACTTTGAAGTAGGCAAATTATTATTTAAAGACGTTAAATTCGATAAATGTCGAGTGCGCCATCCCTGTAAGTGAGAATTTCGTCCGTGAAAACCACGAATTAGCGATTAGAAAATGTGAGATCGCAAATCACTCTCACAAGTGCGTACAATCTGGAAATAGTTTTCTTACAGATCGCTAATTTGTAATTTTTTAAGCCTGAATTCGGCACTAAAACATGAAGATACTGATTCAAAACGCTTTTTTATCGATTTGGGCCAAAGAAATCCTCTCATGTTATCTATCTAGTTCCATTTCATTCTCCTACTGCATTCGATTGCATAACAGTCATTTCACACCGTTTACTGTTGAATGACAGCTAGTTTTATAACTGAACCATTTTTTTCTGAAGAGCAGTCGACAGCTGGACCACTGCGATTGCAGTTCCTTAGAGCCAATATTAAAATGTTTCGTGATACATGAACTGCAGTAACGTGGCATTTTAGATACTACGATTTTTATGCAGGGCTGGGCACCACCTCAAGAGTGTCGCATAGTTACTTAGGCAACATTTCACGAATGAACGTCTTATAGGCCAACACTTCCCCTCTTCCCACCAGACCTCAACCTCTGTGACTTTTGTCTATGAGGTTATTCTCAAAAGCACTGTTTATGGTGATAATCTAAACAATTTGGCAGAAATGAAAAATGTGATACACTGATAACATTCCTCCTGATATGCTATGTGTAACGTGTATACGAGCCAGTTTCCCTTAAAAAGTCCTCCACGAAGGCATCCCTCCCTTAAGGCAGATAGCCCTCGAGTGCTTAGCCGTAATCTAATAAACCAAACCTGATATGCTAAGAGCTGCTGTTGAGAATGCAGTAACATGATTTAACTTGCTTTCGGAAAATGCTGGACGCTACATTGAACATGCTTTGTAACACGTTTCGGAAAATATTAAACACATTTTAAACAGATGTTTTCGTGTCTTATTTCATTTAACAATATTGTATACAGCGCCATTTTTTCCCTGATGGTGAGTTTTTGAACTCTTTTTTTTTTTTTTTTTTCCGCCGAAAATAAATTCTCATAACCTCCTTTACACGATTCCCAAGTTTGATAACATTTGGTCCGGTAGTTTTCCTTTTATGACCATTTCAAAGTGGAACTTTAATAATAACCACCATGTAAAATAAGCTTTAAAAGTCTGACAGTTTGGTTCAAGTCCCAACTTTAAAAAATATATATATATAAATATAAATTTTTATATTAATTCTCTTAGAAAGCATGTTTTAAGAAGCTAATTTTTCTCTCTCGCGTTATAGATTGTATAAAAAAAAACATGATCTTTAATATGATTTAGATTGTTTTCAGCCGATATAAGAATCGGGTTACTCTGTGGTACAGAATAAACCCTGCTGGACTGTTTTATTTCTTTGTCATTTAGCAAAAATCTTTTAATTAAATATTTATCCTTTGGACTTCGCTTTAAACTTTATTTATAGCTAAAATGACTAGAAAATGAAAAGCTGTCTTTAGCTGAAACGCAATTCATATAATTGATATTTTAAAAAATTGACAAGAATGCAAAATGTATGGAAGTCTAGCAGTCGAAAAATCTTAATTTTCTTGTGTGAGCACTGAAAATAACTGTAGAAGGAAAGAAGAAAATTAGGGAGAAAAGTAAGCAAAAATTTGCAGGGAAATTTGGCTGTCAGACGTACCAAGATGTTCAAAAAGTTGGACGCTTTCGAATATACTTTCAGGATACTTCAAAGAATTTAGGTGTTCAAAGAGAAAACACTTGGACGAGTACACCAGCAAATACCATCAATTGAGCTTGTGTTAACAGAAAAGACAAAACGATATCATTGCAGATTAAAGTGAAGAGCGACTGGTTTTAAACTATATGGTTGTGTAAATTACGTTATAGAACATCATATCGTATCATAAATGGGGAATCCCATGATTTCCTCAGTCGAATTATTTGAAGATTCAGGAGTTTATCCAGTGATGTATGTGGATGTCACTTAAAGATGTTTTTTTTTTTTTTCCCTTCCTGATGAAACAGCGGCCGAGCGGTAAAGTCGCTGAACACTGGTAGTTCGGTCCGAGGTTCGAATCCCGCGAACGGGCTGGCTGCATGGGCGTTTTCGTGGTTTTCCCCATGTGTAACGTGTATGCGAGCCAGTTTCCCTTAGAAAGTCCTCCAGGAAGGCATCCCTCCCCTTAGGCAGATAGCCGTAGTGTGCTTTGTCATAATAAAATAAACCAAAACCTTTTGATGAAACCAGTCTTTCCTTTCATCTCATAGCTTAAAATGTTTAGCCTCTAAAGACTGATAAAGACTCTGACGAAATACTTCGTGAAGAACTTTCTAAGGGAAACCAGCTGTCATACGCGGTACACATGAGAAAATCCACGAAAATGCCCATGCAACCAGCCCGTTTACCGGGGTTCGAACCCCGGAGTGAACTACCAGTGTTCAGCAACTTTACCGCTCGGCCATTTGTGGGCCTTTATGAAATGGAAGGCAATAACTTTATTTAAAATGATTGTCAGAAATACCAAAATGTTTCGAAAAGTTGGATACTTTTCAATATACTTTCAGAATGCTTAAAGAAAAGAGAAGAAAAATAAATTTTTTCGTAAAATTTAGTATTCGTATTTTTTTAAATTTAAAACTTTTCAATCTTATGATATTTGATTCTTGCGATTTCAAAAATAAAATATTTGACTAAAATATGAATAACATTTTAAGAAACCAAATGTAGGATAAAATTGTGTAAAGCAATGGGCACAATGATAAAACTGTTTAAAGCAGTCTATGCAAGTCATCCTAAGTTAAAATATCGGTTATACATCTCTCTTATTTATATATATTTTTTCTGAACGGAACATTGAAAGGCGTGTAAAACTGTGCTTTACTGTATTTTCTCTTTTAATATAGTATGCAGTTTTCAAATGCATCGTAGTCTGGGTTACAAAGTATTCTTCCGAAAAAAACGCAGTTCAAATAAATAAAATCAAATTCTGGAAAATTGATATTAATAAATATATTTAAAATGCTCAGTTCGAAGGAATAAATAGAAAATTTTTAAAACAATTATCTGAAGAGACAATGCAACACAAACAATTAAAAAAAAAGTATAAAAATTTAAAAATGACCTAAAATAATAGCCTATGACGAAAAATATATATAAAGAAAACTATTTGGGGAAAAAAAATATATATATATACGCTGCACCTTTATTTACGCAGTTCGAATAGGTAAATAGAAATTTTTAAAACAGTTATTCGAAAAAAAAAAAAAAAAAAAAAAAAAAAAACGTGCAACTTAAACAATTAAAATGAAATTCGAAAAGAAAAAAAATTACTTAAAATAATAAGTTATAACTAAAAATATAATATAAAGAATATTATTTGGAAAAAAGGAACGATGGTGACTTTTTTCCTAAGGAAACTAGGTTGCCATATATTAAGAAGTTCGCCAAGTGAAGTATTCTTGGCGCAAACTGACAAAAAAGTGCCAACATAAATTTGTGAATTTCTCCGTAAATTTCGCTCCAAATTTTACAAAATTTCATATTTAGGCGTAATTTGAGTCGTAGAATCGAAATATGTAAAAAAATTGGTATGTTATTTCAGAAAAAGTCCGATTTTGTGTCAAAATACCTATGTTAGAATAGTGCTATATATAAATCTAATATATATCCTAAGTCGCGCTTTCGAGACATGAAGAACGCAATTTGAATTTTGTCAATCGGCCCAGTAGATCGGGAGATATAGGACTGTCCCATTTTTTTTTTTTGAGTAGTGTACATGTTTCATATACCTGGCAGAGAGAAATTTGCTTTCATTCTGTTTCAGAATACTGGCTATAGCCTTTACCAAATATATTTGGAAAAAATATTTAGCTGTTATTACATAATAAATGTAATGATAGAAATAAAGAAATTACATTGTGATTTTCATAAATTCATCAAAATTATAATGAGACACTAACAAGAATACTGAAATTCAGTTTATAGTTAAAAAAATTCTTCCTTTTAAAAAAAAAATGTCATTCTTGAAGCAAAACAAATAATACTGGTCAAATATACAAGTGAAACTTTTCTTTTGAATAAATATGCAAAAGCGGGAAGCTAATTAATATTTTTCTAATTTTTTAGGGCTAACAATAAATGATATCAGTTAATTTCCAATTTGTTTATCAAAATTTAATTACATGAGTCCGTTATAAGTACACCGAAATTTTATTCACAAATTAGCTTCCTTGTATGACAACTCTAGAAATTTAGAATTTAAAAAATATTACAATGTGCAAACAGCTTTTTTTTTAGTTTCTTATAAATTTTTTACTGTACAAGTTAGGAAAATATATATACATAAAATAATGAGTAAACGTACTTTGTAATAAATAAAACTAGACTAATTTTCTCCATATAAATATTTTAACTTTATTTGCAAAGCTTTCATAAATTGATGATTATTACTAAATTTTAATACAAATTAACACATGCAATCAACTGCATACAGAAAACAGGTTTTTCAGGAACCTCATTCAGAAAATAAGGTACTGACATGTTATAAGTGATTGCTTTTGCAATTTTTATAGCAAACATTAAAACACACTATGCAGACTAGCTTTTATTTTCTGCATGTCTTTATTACACAAAATGTCAGATCAAAGAAACGAAACAAATTTTTAATATAATCTTCAAGCAATGCAACAGGAAAATTAGAAAAAAGAAAATGACTGAAATTTGCAAACACACACACATATTCAAAATTATTTAAACTTAACCACAAAATTAAAGCACATTAATAAAAGTTCTTTTTTTTTTTTTTCCATTATACACTTAGAACTCAATATACATTTTCCACATCAAGTGGAAGATTTGCTACTAAGTCCCCAACCTGTAAAATCTGTGCATTCATTGCCAAATACATGGTACCTATTCATTACATTTCAAACCAATTCACAAGAAACAACTTCATACACACTCCTATAATATAAACACAAATTTTTTAACTAATTCCATGTAAGCAACATAAACGCACTTAAATTAAATACAATTGTCCACTGCAGTGACTTAGCAGCTGTAACACATGTAGAAAAATGTTTCCAATATAAAATAAGGTAAAAAGTATATACTTTAAGAAATTACATAGCAGTTCAAGATTTCTGAATTAAATAATTTAAAAAAGAGATTAGAAATGTACAGAAGTGAAGAAATGTCATGAAAGTAATGTAAAGGTACCAATAATACACAGGTTCAAACCAGCACCACGGAATGAGGCGAGTTTCAAAATACAAAAACACTGGAGCACACAAACCAATGTTATGAAGATTTTTCACACTCTCATAAAATCTCAGTTTATGAATATCAAGAAAAGTCCTCAAAATGCCAACTCCTACTTCTGATGAGACATGTGCACAATAGCTTTGATACCAAGCATGAACACATTCCTTATGCAGGTAACTTCAGAGCTTTACCTTTAATAACTGAAAAATAAATCATATGCAATTAGAAAACAATTCTACATTTTCTATAATCAATTATAATTCAATACAAGAGTAAATTCTAAATAAAATGACAAGGAATGGTAAAATATTTCACACACATAAAATCACATCAAGCATATAACTATAAATAAATTTCAAAAAGATAGACTATTCAAATTAGAATCTTAGTGAATATTTTAATTCCCACAAACATAACATTTTTTATTGATTTGATCGCATTTAAGAATTTGTTATACTTCATGATTTTAACAAATTATTTACACAAATTCCAAATATCCATGTACCTTTCATGAACATGTATTCTACTATAAATCACACTAATAATACTTACCTTAAATGCAACTTACATACTCCGTTGCTTACAGAACTAGCAGAGAAACTCTCTAGTCATTGCCCAACTCTTTTTGTTTTACTGCACTCACATTTGAAAAAATAATTTCTTGTAGTCTTCTTGGAATCTTCCATCTTATGTCAATTTTTTAACATGTAAAATTACATCGGTACTATTCCGTTTTGAGGATCGTAAAAAAAATTGTACTAACAATTTGGGAATATCCCAGTGATGAAAAGTCTGCAATAGAATTTTTTCAAAGAAAAGGCATCATTCATTATAGAAAATTATATTTGAACAAACAACGAGATGAAATAATGCTTTAGCGATAACTCGGTACTGAAATAGCGATGCAGGAATCCACTCAGTTATGATTCGCCTATTTTTATATAAATTATAATAATGATCTGAAATAGTTATTTACTCTTATGCTTCCATTCAGTTATGTTTATCCATTTTTACATAAATTATAATAATAAAAAATTTTATGAAATTAATCTTTTATCTAAATTAAAACAAAATTAATCTTAGATAGTTATTTACTATTATAGTTCCTTTCTTGCGTTAGGGTTGCCACAATTATTTTTGGCAGCACTGGCATCAACAATAAATAGTCTGGCGATTTTTTACAATTCTCAAAACGGAATAGTACCACTACATCTTTTTAACATTACCACCCAAACATTTCTTGAATACTTTTGCTGAAAATTTTCATACCAAGCAACATATTTTACAAATATTTTAAGACTAAACGCTAGGCAAAATTTAAGACTGTGCCACAAAGAAATATATGATATAAAGTGTGAATACCTAATGAAATACATAACTGTTTCAGTATTGTACTATATGCTATATAAAAACTGTGTTACATGTTTATTTGAGTTGATAAAAAAATACATAAAGTTAGCTTCCATTATAGCTGATGCCCAAGCATTTGGATACTAAATTAAGACTTTTGCAAGACAGCAGCAAATGATGTACAGAAGACAATCTATAGACTTTGATTCCATATTAATAAATTATCATAAGAAGAAGCCACCTTCAGATAATTCTAATAGGTAGTATGTCCAGTTTTCAGAACATCTGAACAAATGCGAAAATAGAATCCTCCCCATTACATAAAATTGACAAAAGCCCAAAAATTCAAGTTTTTAAAATTTATTAGTCACAAATGCTAAATTCATAACTATTTATAAATGGAATTATGACAACTTTTTTATAAATTCAATATTAAAGAAAATTACATTTAGGGTGACAAGAACATGAAAAATCTGATATATGTGGAAAGCAAAGTAAAAGCTAGCTGGAATGTATATGCAATACAGTAAACTCTTTCTAAATGCGGGGTTACATCAGTAACACACTACACTGTTAATATTTTGTGGAAAAAAATGGGTTAGGTTTGGTTCAGATTACAAATTTATAAGAGCCCATATATTACTATATTTAGACAAGAAAAATGAAACAAATTTAACTGAAAGGATTTCTATTACTGCTTAAAAAGGAGGTATATCATACAATTATTTTTTTAAAAAGCTGGGGATTTCTGCTTGAGACAATGCCTGATTCAACTTGTTAAATGCTTCATAGCAAAGTTTTTCAATACCTCAAAGTTTTTTAATATAAGTTTCCTCTTTGCTTTTCATCTGTTTCAATCTCCATTATTAAATCAGAGAGTTCCTGTACCTTTTTTTTTAACAACTCATTTAATTTTTTCTATGTTAAATGCTCTTTATCTTATTCACTATTGCTGCTTTCACCATTATTTCTTGTTATACATTATCCAATTCATTTGTCACGACTGTCATTCTCCGCTAATTCACTTCAATATCTGAAAATTCTTCACCACCTATTGTGCTTTTTTAATTTGTATGATTTCCTTGGCTTCCTTTTCGATGGATGGAAATTCTCTAAAATTGTTGATAATTTCTGGCCAATACTGATGTCAGCAAACATGCATTTTTGATGAATTCATTTGCTCCTACGCAAGTTTAATCATTTCTGTGCAGTGATGAATTGCTTCCAAAATGTCATTAGTGTGTTCTGCTTTCTTTCATTTAGTGCTTTATAGTCTATTATGTCTGGCAAAACATGCATGTAAACATGCCAGAGATAACATGCATGTAAACATGCCAACAGACTGAATATTTTTATGATTTCTTGATTCATTGGTTAGATTAAGGCAGTGGTGTTCAAATGAAACCTCTACATTGGGATTAAATATTGTGAGGGCAGTTCAGTACCCTGTCTTGGAGCATTATCAAGAATGGGAAGAAAATTAAAGCTCAGGTTCTACATTTCTAAGTAATACTTTACTTTTTTAAAAAATGAATTTTTAAAGCAATCATTAAAGAGGACAATCGTAATGCAGGCGATACTCTGCACCATATCATGTAACTGAAATTCTCACAATAGGAAATAGTAAGCAATTATGAAAACGCATATATGCAAAACTGTATTCTTCAAGGGTTTACTGTATTACATTTATTCAAAACATTACTATTTATCTTAACATAAATCCTTACCTTTGGTAATATATAAATAGAAAAAGTCACAGTAGAGAACTGTCTGTACAACACCAGCTATGATAGCAATTAAATCATAGAATCCTTCTGAATAGTAACGGTACACCCAGTTCAGTATGTAGAGACCTCTGTATGAACCCAAGCAAAAGAGGTAATGTGAAGTGATGGTTTCTGCTTCTCCAGTTTTTGACACCATAAAAAGTTGAGGCAAAATAGCTACAGATTCCAAATAGATTGAAAATGTCCACAATATCTAAAGAACAATATGAATATATCACTAAAAATATTCTATAATATGAGAGGAGAATTAATAATACCACAAACTACACAATTTAACAAAAATATTTTCTACACTAGAATCTTCCAACATTTTTTTCCTTAATTAAAAAATAAATAAATAAACTTAAGGGGGGGAACCTGCTTCACTGAGATTGCTCTATTTAACAGGCATAACAGAAATTTTCGCACAAGACAACTTAACAAAATTAACAGCATAAATGTTTTAAAGTTATATACATAATTAATTTTCCTATTTTTAAAAATTAATTTCTATGACATATTTTAAATAGTACTTAGCATTAATTACTCTGGAGTAGAGCAAAACTGTTTTAAAATTTGTAAATTAATACTTTTACAAAAATTTGTTACTTGCCATTAGCAACACCACCTCAAGCGGATTTTGTGCTAAACCACCTCTTAGTGAGTTTTTGCTCAGTAAATTTTCTCACCAAAAGAAAAAGTGAGCACATTGTTTTAGATATTTTAATGCATGCAATATTCGTTTTAGGACTGTTTTGTCCAATTTTTAATTCATTTTATGTTTAAGCAAAACATATATAATTGTTTATTTATTTATTTTTTAAACTCTCATATAAACACTTAAAAAGTCTTGACATCATTTAAGACAGTAGTTTCAAGCTCTAATTGCATGTAGGTTGAACGTACAACCTGAAAACAGCTAACAAGCCAGAAACCATCTTTAAATAAAAAACTATACGAACAAAAAAACAAAAAAAAGTTTAAATAATTTTTAAATATTCCTCATTAAATATCTGTCAAAACATACATAAATAATAATACTATCGCAAAAGGAAAAAAAAAACTCAAATTTAGATTTATTTTCTATCTGAAATCTAATGTTGCTACATGTTAAAAAAAAAAAAAAAATCTTTGTTGGCTACACTTTTCTGAAATTCAAATATAGTGAGTGCTAAATATTTAAATTCTTATGCTGACATTTCTTTCGAATATTTCCACCTTGTTTAATTAATCATTAAGTAACTTGCTTTAAATTAAGCTAAAAAATAAACAAAATTCTGAGATCTTTAAGTTTTTAAGGAAATTTGTCAAGTAGTTCAAAACTTGAGAATAAATAAGTGTATTAATTTTTTCTTCAATGAATTCATAAAAATGCATACATTTGTATGTACATAATTACATTCTTTTTTTCTTATTAAATCTTAACATTTGATAGCATTTTGATTCTGATAAAATTTGTAGCCTCGGACAAAAAGTTTTAGAAATTACCTTCATTATGGACTGTACATGCGCATTGGTTAGTCTTGTTATTTCTTATGAATTTTCAGCTGGGTATAAAATCTCCTCACATATAAAGGTATTCTCAAACAAAATGATTATTCTTGGTGCAAACATTTGTAACCGAGCTTATTTATTTTTTAGCGAGTATGAATTAAATTCTGTATGTTCAAATCTTTGAATAAAATTTATATCACACTGTAAATTAATTAGCTGAATTTATAGATTTTCTACTGCGTTATTCATATTTGTTTTTAAATGAAATGAAAATCATATAAACTCAGACTTCAAATAACTAGAAAGTTGAAATCCTGCAACTATTAGACTTGAATTCGCAGCAGATGCATAGAACAGTTCGCACCTTTTTTCGGATACTTTCATTTTCAGCTTTATTTACAAATACCAGTTATTAAATGTCAACAAAAGGATTTTTTTTTTCACATATAGTGGTCAACTGTTTTAAAACCTGTTTGTTTTGAAAAACACTCAAAAACGATTTTGGATAAAACAATTTTTTTAAAAAAATTCTGAAACTGAACTCGTATAAGTATTCGGACAATTTTAGTACACTGTTTATATTTAATAAAAAACACAAAAATAATAGTACACTCAATATTTTGTTGGATATCCTTACTTTAAAATTGCATTTTTCATGTTCTATGGCATGGAGTCAACTAATGTTTTTTAATTCAACTAATGTGTAAAAAGGATCCATTTGTCCCATTCCTATGCAAGAATTGCTTTTATTACAGCTTTCGAAGAAGTTTTTTTGTTTCCTTAATCTTTTCTTTAATTCACTCCATACATATTCCACAGGATTTAACTCTAGAGAACAAGAAGTTTTGACAATTTCAGGAAAGTTATATAATAAACAAAAACAAACATTTAAAGGTGCATGTTTAAGATTGTTATCCTGATAGGATTTGAATGCATTTTACATTCCTAAGTTTTTTGCAGATGCTTTCAGATTTTCATTAAGAATATTTGTGTATTTATACCAACTCCTATTATTTTCAATAAACATTAAATTTCTTATTCTGAAGTCAGTGTAGCATCCCCAAAACATTATACCTCTACCCCCGTGCATAGCAAGATTTTAAAATTCAATCCTTAATTTGGATTTCACTGTATATTAATTTGGCTATAGAACCCAAATACATTAAATTTTGACTTTCCTGCAAATAAAATATTGCTCTAATATGATAAACTACAGCTACTACATGCTTTATGAATGTCAGGCATATTTTCTTTGTTGATGAAGAATTCTTCTTTCTGATCGCCAAGTGAAATCAATGACTCTATTAAAAGCTTCAGGGTTAACTTTTATTGCAAACTGTGTTTCTAAATTTGCTTAACGGTTTACAGTGTTAATTTTTGGGTCTTAGTTGATTTCTCATAGAATAAACGTCTGATTTGTTAATGTTAGTTTGGAATACAGTGAAGAATTTACTGCATTTCTGACAGTTTCATGAAATTTCCTACATTTAATTACTTTAAAGACAGTTAAATGCTTTAAATAAATTTTTTTTTGACTATTTCAAATAATTTTATTATTTTTAAAAAGATTAAATTTCTAACAGAATTGATGAGATTACAGTGTGTTCCCTCGCCACTTCGAGCTTCATGTTTTACGGCTTCTGTGCTTCCGGGTTTTTCCAAAATATTCATCAAAAAATAAAAATGAAAAAATACAACCATTTCGGCAGCCACATTGTGAAAAGGAGTGTTGTTTCACGTTGATGTGTGAGAGAGAAGGATCCCTGCATGTCAAACAAAGAGATGAGTTGACTCAGAGTACATACCATGGGCTTTCATAAAGGTGCATGATTGGTTTCTGGTGTGACATCGACCAATGAGAGTACGAGTGGATTTATCCCTGTGAGTTGATTGTCTGCGCATCATGGCAGCTTCACCTAGCATATTCTTTTGCTGTATCTCGCCAGTCTTGTCCATGATGTTGACGGTCTCGCATACTGTATTTTAGCGTTGTGTTTTTTTATTAATTAAGCCCTTATAATGCCACCTAAGCACTGTGCCCCTGTGAAAGCTTACTCTGGGGTGCCCAAGAAGGAAGAAGATGATGACCATCAGCGATAAAGTGGAACTTTTAGACATGATCGGAGAGGGCAGAAGTTATGCATCTGTGGCATGCCATTAGGGGGTGAATGAATCTACAGGCAGTACATCAAGTGAGAGGAAAGCAAACATCCGCAAAACTGCTTCAATAAAGAAGCGAAACGTGTGGTAACCGAATTGTGGAAATGGAAGCTGATGGCATTGTGGATTGCAGAAAAAGTGAGTTTGGCACTAAAATTATCAGGAAAAGTGTGATAACTCCGTGTAATAAATGCCCGATGATGACAATGAAGAGGCTGAAGAAGGTGTTGACGAACCTCAAGCCAGTAATAGCGCTGCCAGGAGAGATTCGCCTCCTTGAGGACAAAGATTTTCAGCCAGCAAAGATTGGTTTGAAAAATTTCAAAAAAGATACGGCCTCAGAAACGTGCTTTTGTTTGGTGAGGCTTCTTCTGCTGACAACGATGCTGCTTGTCGTTATGCGGAGGAAGAGTTTCCTAACCTCATCAGTAAGGGAGGCTACCTCCGAACAAGTTTTCCACATGGATGAAACATGCCTTCGCATACATTCTCTTCAAGGACGAAGTGAAGCGGCCATGCTTCAAGGCTCACAAAGACCATATGACTGTATTGATGTAGATATCAAGACCATGGCTGGCAATGCTGCACGTTTTATGCTCAAGCCAGGCTTATTTATAAAGCCAAAAAATCCACGGGCATTAAAAACAAAAATACGGCTCTGTTGCCCATGCTCTGGATACCAAAAGCTCTGACCCTTGAATGGTTCCTCCATTGCTTCATTCCCCAGGTGAAGCTGTATCTGGCTGAAAAGGGCCTCCCCTTTAAGGTCCTTCTCCTGATGGACCGTGCAGGAGGCCATGCAACGAACCTGCAATATGATGGTGTGCAGATAGAGTTTTCTGCCCCAGAACACTACCTCTCTAATTCAGCCAATGGATCAAGGTGCCATTCGTGCCTTCAAGGCACTCTACACTCGCTCCACGATGGAGGGCCTCATCTTGGCAGTTGACGATGCCAATGACAAATTCACCTTAAAAGCATACTGACGCAGTTACGACATTGCCTCATGTTTGTCTAATATTCAGCGAGCATTAAAGGACATGAAGAGTGAGACCATAAATTCTAGCTGGAAGAAATTATGGCCGAACGTGATGCATGACGATCCAGGCTTCACTCCTAAAGAAGTTCATCACTCAGCAGTGGAAAAGGCAGCGAGGCTGGCTCTCACCATAAGGAATGCAGGATTTGTCGACATGACAAAAGAAGACATCAGCGCCCTTATCGATTGCCACTCAGACCCACTGACCAATAAAGACCTCGAGATGACAAAGTTTGCAAGTGAGGAAGAAAACGAAGAGTAAGACGAAGAAGAAACTGAAAAGCATGGTCTTACCCTGGAGAATCTGCAACACTGTTGAAAATGCAACAAGTTGCACAAGACATTGACGGCAATATGGTTCAAGCTGTCGAGTTCAGCAATCGCGTTGACGAGTTATGTCCTTGTACGGGGAAATTTTGAAAGAAAAGAAAAAACAAAGACAACGACCCATCACCATGTTTCTCTCCAAGGCAAAGTTCCCTGACTCTACCGAGTCAGCGCCTCCAGCAGAAAGTCTTTTACGAGTCTAAAGCTTCTACGAGTCGAGTGAGAGCATGTCTCCGCCACATGAACACAAGATTATTCGCCTCTCTCAGAAAACAATATTGATTATGTTTATTAATGTATAAGGTTTTGTAATTAACCTTATTAATTAGCACTGACACATTAAGTAAATGCATATACTGTTGTAATTTTTGTCTTAAATGTGTAAAGTATAAATACTGTTTACATATTTAAAACATTCTTGTACCCGCATACACGAAAATCCCTAGGGGCAAATCCTGCTTCGCAGTTTTATCAGCTTTAAAGGAAGGTTCTGGTCCTCATTAACCGTGAAAAACGAGGAATCACTGTAGTTTGTAGTGTATTAGCATGATCATTTTAGATATGGAACTGTTACTATACTTTGCTGAACACGTATAAATTTTCAAATGCAGGCTATATTCATATGAAGTATATTCATTTAAAACAAAAAACATTATCTACCAAAATATTTCCACAAAAATATGGAGCCTCCAAATTATTATACGAGCTACTGCTAAACACTTTTTGAACAAATTATTTTACTAAAAGGAATATATTGATAATATTTATTTTATAATATGCAAGGCTTAAAATAGAGAAGAAATGGAACTTGCATAGTAATGCAACCACCTTACAAGTCGCCAAATTTTCAGAATGTACTAAACTCTGAGAACCATGCACAAAACTATTCTTCCGGCAATCATACTCATAATGATCCTTCTACCAAGCACCGCAGCAATTTTCAAATGCATTCTTTTTTGTCATATTCCAAGTTCCAATGGTTTTTTAAACAAATTATGATATTTTTTTGTCTTCAACTTAGTTTTAAAATATAAGCTTATGGAATTTAACAGCAATGGATGAAACTGCAGTAAAATTTCTGCAGGCATACAGAATTTTACTGAACATTTTCTAAGGGGAACAAGGAAATATGTTTCTTTGATAACCACTGTTGCTAAGAGTTGCAAGAAGTCGAGCCACAATTTTCAGTTGTTTTTTTAATCGAAAACATTGCTGTGTACTTTGGGAGAAGAGCACAAAAAATTACAAAAAGAGTTGAAGAAGAATGCGTTTTATTTCTTTAATGTATCATGTTATTCTTATTTAATAATTCAAATCTGTATTTTAAATTCCTAAAGTATGTTTTCTTTTCACATGTTGATAATGTTTATTAGTTTATGATAACTATTGATGGTTTGGGAAGCTTTCTAAAAAGAGGAAAGAAAGGCGTGAAAAACCACTCGCACCTGATACGTAATTTTTACATTTTCATCTGTAAAAAATCATCAGGTGGCTGTGTTAATACATAAGCTCTGAAAAAATAATATATTAGAAAAAATTCTGAAGTCTACCTTTCAGTACTTAGTATGTAAGAGCTATGGAAATAAATTTAAAAATACAAGTAAAAAAAAATGTGAGCCATCATAAATGAAATGTCTTCACTAGCTGCCAGTTAAGGGAAAAAAAAAAAAAAATGATTATCAAGTTAACTATTTCACACACTATTCAGGCATCATTCTGAAGTAGTGTTACTCAAATGAATGCCAAAAATTGCCATATTTAAAAAATAAATAAATAAAAAGTGTCTTAAAAGTTTTTTTTAAATACTTCTTGAAATCTTCATCAATACAAATAACTGCTTTTCTAAGATACATATTACAGAATAAGCTATTAATTACTGCAGTTCATAAAATATTGTTAAGATAAAGAAATCATGATAAAATTAGTTAAAATTATGTGAAATTTATTAAAGTTTGGTCAAATAATGTAATAGCAGTACCATAGATTATGAATTCCATCTAATGCCAATATTCTAGGTAACAAGAATAATTTGATTCGATAATCCAATAAGTATTAATGCATAATTTAAAAGAAACCAAATGCCTTAGAATAAATGTTGCTCTGTTTCAAGTATCAAAAATTTTCTGGAAGATCCATTTAGTACAAAAGCTACATGAAAAATACAAACAGAAAATATGATACTAAGTACTAATAGGAGAATGTATGAAGCAATGGCACATATTAAAATTTAAAAAATTTATTCATTTTCAGACGCATCCCTACTGAATAATTAAAGCAAAAATTTTTAGCATTAAGATGTCCTACCTGTCCTTGAAACTTGCTTAATTATACTGTTCTTTACATTTACCATAATTCACATAATGTAAATAAAATTTTTTACTGATTCTCCACTATTACTGGATAAATCTGCTGATTTGAATTATAAATGGATACCAATATTCGATACAAAAAAATTTTATTATACAGGATGGGGGGGGGAACACTAATTCCAACTAAACATGACCCAATTTAAGAAAGTTTAATCAATGCTGATTTCTTCAGTATTTAAAGAATGGATATTTATATTACAGCCATGCTCCATTTGATGCATTTTTGTTTGTTTTTTTTGGGAATATTTTCTCCACACCAGGTGACCACAGGTTCAGGCTTTTTTTTCATTTACCACCTAATCAATTTTTTTTTTTTTTTTTTTTTTTTTTTACCTGTCCTTTATCAAGAAACGAACAAATGACTATCTTATTTTTTTAAGAATGAGATATTTTTTATAAAGACAATCGAATAACCACCTCATGAAATTTTAATTCTGACAGGAAGGGGGGGGGAATTCTTAACACAAATGTGGTTTGTTGTTGGATCACACATTATTTAGTTACTGCTGAATCATTTACTTAACAGTGTCAAGAGTTACTATATGTTTAGTTTTGTGAACAAAACATCTTTCGAATGAACCAGTACTGTTCTGTTACCGGGACAAGACTCAGAAATGTATGAATGTATGTATGTGCATATGTATATGTAACCACACACATACATTCATGCTTACATATATACATGCATACATGAACACATATGTCCATCCATCCATACATATATATATCTTTCTGAATCCGGTCCTGATAACAGAACAGTACTAATGAATGAGAGTATAACTGCTGATTGGAGTAGTTACATGAAAAGCATGTTGCAATTTTTTGTTATATGTGTCATCTTTAAAATCATTCAAAAATGGTTGAAAACTTTTTATAAAAAGAAAGAAATTACATATGTCATGTTCTTCTCTCAAAAAGGGTTTTAGGAAGACTTTTTTTTTTTTATGAAATCACAGACTTTATTGTTGTTACCAATCCTAAAGGTGTGGAGAAAGAAATAAGCTAAAATATGTCAGTATTGCACATAGTACGGCTTTAAACAAAAAAGTAAAACCTTTAAAATTCAATTTTGTCAGCTGTTCAGCTAGGAAAACACCAAACAGGCTAAATAAATAGTACAATAGACTTAAAATTCTAGTATTATGATCGCAGCCTTCAGAGCTTTAGCTACATTAAGTCTAAGTTTTCAGTATATTAATATTTTCCCTCCAAACTGTTATTTTCCTCTGGATAGGGTATACATAGAATATCATTTCATTAGTGAAAATAAAACACTTAATTCACCAATACATAAACTTAAAATCCATGGAGAAAATAACTAGCAAATAAAGATAATTACCTCAAGCGGAGTAAAATCATGATTTACGACAAGTGACAGAATAACAACTGGTATGACAAGGAATTCAATTCGAAAAGTATCGTGATTACGATCATAGGTGGCCTTGAATTTAATGTACATCAAATATAGTGTTGCATATGAAGTGCCAATAAAGAAAACTTTCATGACTGAATTATACACAGATATAAAATTGCTGAAAAGATCCAAATAACGAGTCGTATACACAAGAGCAAAGAGGATTTGGCTCCTGCCCGATATACCTGCAAAAAAAAAAAAAAAAAAAAAAAAAAAAGGTTAAAAACAAATATTTACAACAACTTACAGTATTTAAACACAAAAATGTACTTGGCATTAGATCAAAATAATTACTTCTTCATCCTATTCAGAAAAATAATCAGACTGGAATATATTACCTAATTTATGACGCTACAATGTCATTTCTCATGACTATCACGTTCTGTAACAGTAATATCTGAAAGTGACAATACTTCTTACCAATGAATAGCAACTGTAAAGCAGTTATCCCAGTACACAACCTTATTATATATTAACTGTAAAGCAGTTATCTCTGTACGAAATCAAAATTGTCTAGAATCATTAAAGGGTGTCGTAGGGAGGTTTCACTGTGCTTCAAAAAATTAATACACCAATTATTATTATTATTTTTTGACTGGGGGGGCAAAAAGAATGAATGAAAATTATACCTATTTTTCCCCTCTCATAAAGCAAAATAATATTAACAAGCTCTAAGAAAATTGAACAATAAACCCTGAAGTTAGAATTTAATAAGTTTATTATCAGAATTCAGTAAGGTAAAATGACAGATAATCTGCCTGTATGTCTTATTTACTTAATAGGCAAAAATAGGGAAAAAAAAAAAAAAATTACACTAGTTATTAAATGACTGATAAAAGATTCAAAAATGGCAAATATTAAAAAGAAATTTTTACTAAATTATTCTAAAATAAAGGAATATTTAATACAGGCAAGGCTGTATATATTATGACCTAGAATATATATATTTTTTTAATGTCTATAAGAACATATATAGACATGCATCTTGAAATATGTCCAAAAAATTAAGGTAGTATTATTAAAAGTGCATAAATCAACATATAAAGTAACAGGGATATTTTGGCATTAAAAATCAAGAAACTAGCTCTTTCTCATGGCAGTTTTCGGAAATTTGGACTTTCTTAGGGAAATCCCGTGCCAGTCAGAGTGTTAAAAACCCCTCAACAAATCCAAGCATTGGCTATTAAATGGTAAAGTTTACTTCATTTCTGCACTTTATGACCTGATGCTAACACTGAGGAATAAATATTGGAATCTTGTATTCTGAACTTTCACAATACTACATTTTCAATAAGTCATCTCACGTTCTGAGAACATTTAAAATTTTCTAAAAATGGGCCATTTTCAAATTTTGCTTACATATGCTGTCCCAGAGGAAATGAAAGAAAATTCCAGCGTAAATTGATATTTAAAGTTAAATTTGAAAAATGCATTGCATAAAGAAGACTATAAATATATTCTTACAATTAAAAATATAAAAGAACCAATTGAAAAATTTTAGATAAAAACCTTAAAAAATGGGTTCTTAGGCAAAAATGCCTTCAAATTTTATGTAATTTAACCTCTTTGTTTTGTTAACTTAATTTAATTTTTTCAGTAAAAAAAATTTACTTTAAATATGAACTACTAGTGTGTTATATTTATGATAAAAATTAATTATAGAAGCTTTTTTCCTTTATAAAAATCTATAAAAATAATTCATTTTCCACTTTGTGTCAAGTGGGTTAGTTAACTGGATTGTTAAGTGAAGTCTGAAGCTGATTTAATATGCTTAAAAAATGTTTTTATCATTAATCAGCAGTTCTCAGCCTATAGAAAATCCAAAAATAATTTAGAATTCAACGAAGCTCTTCTATATATTGTTTTCTCAGAAAATTATGCCAACAAATTCAGTGCAGACTTTTCACTATGGTGCATCAAGAGCTCAGGCTACTCTTTGCTATACAGGTGTCCAATATATTGGTGAGGAAACTAAGCCCATTTCTTTTTATACATTCTTAACAATTATGACCACAGTTCAGCAGCAGAGTTCACCTGAAGTCAGTGCTGGAACTGTTGAATTTCAGGACACTTAATTTTTGAGTCCTCTCTTGGCCTTTGCATACAACATCAAAAAAGAATTTTATATCTCTTTTCACATTCCTTTCTCTTTCTCTCAGTTAGTCTATATTTTAGGGTACCCCTTGGATTATTGCCAAGTTATTGTTTCATTTATGATAACCTGAGTATTTTACGTTGAATGTTATGGAAACCATATTATGACATAATTGTGGTGATTTTAACTTTTGGGAAAATATTTCTCAGGACTTATTTGAGTTCAATGCTGGTTAGGAAGTATGTTGCTTATTTTGTGTTTCACACAATAAAATACCTGCTGGTGGTACGATTAACATGATGTTTATATACGCTTTGGAATGAATGAGAAAGAAAACATCTATTGACTGGCGTGTAAATTAAGATTTAAGCGCCTTATTTCACTTCTCAGTAAATTATGCAGTGAGATTTAATGATTTGGAAACCAGAATTCATATCAGCAATATGGAAGGTATGTGGGGTGTAATAAAAAAAGATTTTCAAAAGAAATGCTACCAACATGAATTTATGTGGTGAAGGCAGTAGCAGATTCTAGTTCAGATAATTTTAAACAGTTTTTGGATGCCGCTAAGGAATTCTATGTGCAACACACCGAAGATACAGAAATTTCTAAATTAGGCAAGTCGATATTTCCTTTTTGTACTGAGCAGATTAGATAACATGTACTTCCAATTTTATGTTATTTCCTTGCTTTATTTCGACTGACAGTACAGTTTATTGAGATTATAATTTTCTTATGTTTTAATTATGATTTATTGCATTATGTTTTGGAGGCTATTTTACTTGGGAGGGTGTTTCACATAAACAAGAGTGACACTAAAAAAACTGGTTGATCTTTACATTACGGTAACTGGTAGTTTGGCGATATTTTGGAGGCGATAAAGGTTACTACCTGGGACTTTGGTAATAATGTGAGCAGTACTGAGTTCCGATTACGCATTATTTTGTGTGGGGGAAATGAGAGATCATGGGATATGTCATGTGATATTAATGGACGAATTACGGTTCTTTAATCGGAAGAGATGATGGGATATGTCATGTGATTTTAATGGACGAATTACTGTTCTTTAATGGGGAAAAATCTGGGAATTTTGCATTTGGCTTTATTCTGTGTTGTGTGAAATAGTGTTTGTGAATTTTTGGATCCCATGGCCGTAAGTAAAGTGAATTCGAAATGGGTATTTAGTGGTATTGAAAAGGATAGTAAGAAATGTTTTTTAAGATTGTGTGAGAGAGAAATAAACATGTTTTATTATGTTATTTATTTTACGTGGTATCTTGCTTTGAAAGATAAGTATGATTTTAAAGATTCTGAAAGAGAATGAAGAAAAGTGTATCCGCCACGTAATGAAGATTCTGAAGGAGATTAGGTAAGTTAGTATTTTTAATTATTTTTATGCATTGTTGGAAATGTAAGAAGGAAAGGAATTGGTATTATTGGGAAAATTGTTATTAGCAATGATTTAGTTTAAAGTAATTAGGATTGTAAGGTAATTTTTTTATTAATTGAATGTATGTGCTCATGTATATTTTAAGTGGTGTTTTTGAATTTAATTATATTTTAATGAAATGATAGTTATTTTGAATTTGAATTTTATGCTTGTAGGAATTTGGTTTACGTTTAAGTTGAAATAAACGTGCATGGAAATAATTTAAATATTTGATACTAAATATTTGTAATGCTTCATGTATGAATTCGTTGGTGTGACGTGTATAATAATAGATGATTAGTAGAGGTAAAAGTTTTTGGATATTTTATTTATTTTATATGTGGAAATGTTCATATTTGTAAAGGGTAAATACTTTTTCGCGATCAGGTAATTTCATATATGTTCTTTTTTTTACCGGGTTTAAAGATTGAGAAAATTGTCATGTATTTTCGTGAAATTTTTCGAATTTATGAGAAAAAAGCAGTGTACATGGAATAGTGAAGAGTGTGCGCAATGCCATTTTTGTGCAATTCTGTTCTGGGATGTTTTTTTTAAGTAAAAATAAGTCGGCGTGTACATGGTTTATGTGTATGTGTTATTTTGAAAAAAACGCGTAAGGTGTATGGTATTGTGCACTTTTTTTCCGAATTTTGCAGTGAATATTTGTCATGATTAAGCAGTTTGTTTGATAAAAATTTCTAGCATAAGTGTAATTCGGCTAGTAGATTGTTGGAAGAAGTGTTCAGTAGATAAGAAGAAAAGAAACATGTCTTTACTTCGTGAAGACAAAATGGCGGCGGGGAAAAAAAAATAAAGGGTTGCTGTAGGGGAGTTGGTCGCCAAAAAATCGCCAAGTTACCGTAATGTAAAGATCAACCAAAAAACTTGCTAATTTTCACCAAGGGGTACCCTGAAATATATTTTCCCCCAATCGGACACATTTCGAAGCTATCTATGGTAAAGCAGCTGTTGATGACATAAGGGTGGTAAGTAAAAGAACAGCCAATAGCTTGATATCTTATGAAGACATTTTTTGGAGCCCACAAACTTTATCGAAAAATTCAAAGAGAAAGACATGTCAAGGTTTTCTTCATTAAGACTTCATTTCAGTACATAAACTCATTTCATTAAGAAAAATCCTAAATATTTTTTGCCTTTTTTTGGCCCTGATCCTTTGTATGTATAGGCTGCTCATCATGAGCTGTCCAACAGATGTGAACAACAATATTTCATGGATGGATGATAATACCAAGCCAGAGACCCATCTAGTGAAGGAAAGTTGCATTGGACTACCATCCCAAGAATTCCTGGATAATTCAGATATGGAATATATGAAAAATAGACTTAAGGAGTTGGAATAAAAAATTACTAGTATTACAGGGACATGATTATGATTTGTCAGCAGATGAAACCAGTCACCGATATGGATATCCTTACGGAACCGTTGATAAAGAATCTTCAAATCCTCAAGGCACTAGCTGCAGAGATACGAGGTAAGTGTAATCTTCCTTGCTCTTTAGGCATTGCCCCCAGATTAATTTATGCGTTAACCCTTTGCGGCACACTATATGTTAACGTCAGAATTTCAACAAAAAAAGTTTTATGCAGTCTATTTAGTCCTAAAGGAGTATACAGGTAAAATTTTGTAAAAATTGCACTTACCGTTTTAATTCTGCAAGTGTTCCATGAGGTGGAACACTGCGCCGCCAGAGCTTTTAAAAGTGCGACTAAGCGAGCATTGCAGTGAAGCATGAAAATTAGTAGAAGCGTTTGTATAAGAATGAAAAAACTCTGTATTATGGCTGTATACATGGTTTCCTGGATATACACAATATTCTTGAATATATACGGATAAATGAGATAAATATCTATATACACAAGTCCTATATACAAAAATATTCACAAATTTTTTGAAAGAGTTAGACCTCTCTGCGCCATTTATGGAAAATTAATAATAAAAAAATTAACTACGATTAATATTAAGAATAAAGAAAAACAAGCATATAATATATACATACACGAAAAATACCTACACATTTATTGAAAATAAATGGGAATGAGACTAAAATGCGACAGCAAAAAATTCGCACATGTCTAAGTACAGATGAGTCAAGCTACTAATAAAATTCCCGCCTAAAAACTACTCCCAAAATATTCGAGATGCCAATATTAGGGCTTTTATAACACAAAACACACCTCACCCCTCAATACTCCTTTGTTTGAATTCATCCTTCCCCAAAACAACGGAAACAGAAAACGTAAACGATGGATGTTCTCTCCTAAGCACAGATGTTCTGATTCGTAACAGCATGAGATTGCTAAAGGCGCAGTCTTCCCGCTAATGGAACACCCGGTTTCATTCAATGATTCTGCGTATGGTTTTTGTATGAAAGATTAAAAAAAATATAGAACAAATAATTTGGAGTACAGCGAGCAAAATTATGCCTAATTTTTTTTCCAAATAAAATTTTTTATATCATTAAAAAATAGAGAAAATTACTTGAAAAAAAGAGGATTTTAATAACACATAATAAATAAAAATTCTATGTCTCCTTGTGATATGCTGCTATCTACTGTTTAAAAAGAAAAGTTCAAAGTATATTATAAAGGCATTTTTATCTATTTACGGTTGAATTTAAAGGTTTCAGAAGCGATTCAATTTGGGTGTTCCATGTAGTGGAACACTGAGCCGCAAAGGGTTAATAGAAACAGAAGAGAGTAAAGCTAAACGTAAAATTTCTAATAATTCTAGTAATATTGACAATGAATGATTTCAGTTAGCCACCAAAACTGCTAAGCAGCAAAAAATTGAAAAAATAAAATTAATATTGAATCAACCAATAAATTTAACGTTCTTAACGAAATTAATGAGAAGAATAAATTACCTAGTTAAGAATAGATGGTGCAACAGCAGCCGACCACCAGCTAACCACAGGCTATTCCTCCAATTATGGTTAACCCTGGTGAAATATCAAAGATTTTCTAAAAGAATTATTTCAGAAAACCGAGACAAAATTTTTAGATAAACTAAAGGGAGATCTTCTGAAAATATTTCCACAAAGTGCAGATAATCATCAAAACTTTAGCTCACTGTTTACTGAACAAAAAGTAGAGCATTATGTAATTAACGCTAATTACGCAAAACCAATCAAAGTTTTTTTCCGAGGATTACCTTCCACCACAAACACACAAAACATTGTAAATGCACTAACTGAAAACGCAAAGTGACCCAGTTAACAAAAAGAAAAACCATAGCATCCATGCCTCTTTTTCCTAGTTCAAGTTATGAAAAATGAAATTGCAGATCAAATTTTTTTATGTTACTGATTTATTACTGTTTTCTGTCACTGTGGAAAAATATATCTCAAAGAATCAGTTGCCACAGTGCTATAATTGCCAGAAGTGGCACCACTCGTCAGAAAACTTGTTTCTTCACATCCAGGTGTGTCAAATGTTCACTAGAGTACAAAACACTGGATTGTCCTAATAAAGGACGAATAGATCAACCTAAGTGCAGTAGTCGTGTCATATCATGGACGCATAAAGTTCTCCAAAAGTAGATCAAACCAATCAAAAGAAGATTATTCAGTCAAACAGGAAATTTCCTTCACTGACATGACCAAAAGTCAGAATACTTAATGCACATCAAATAATTACCAATGCCAAAGAAAATTCTTTACTAGGAGAATGTCAGCTGTTACTTTAAAAGAACAGGATTTTGTGAGTACTTTCTCATGGAGAAATATACTTTCAAAAAACATTCTAGACAAAAAAGGAAACATCAAATACAAAACATCTTCCATAAAAAGATCTATTCCAGTTTCCATTTCTACTTAATACATATGAAAAATGAAATTTGGGTAATGTTACATTTAGATCTACGATATGCACTTATTTCATGTATAAAGAATGCATTATTTTTTTATATAGTAAAGCCTCAGTTAAGTGAAATGCTATTTTATATTTATGCATTTAATTACATGAGTATTTTTTAATATTCAATTTCAATAGTAAGTCATTTGAATATGAACTATATTCAAACTCAATATTAATTCATTTGAATATGAAATAATAGTTATCCTATCTTGGTTGAAAGAAAATTATTAGAGTGAACAAAATATACATAAATTTAAAATGTAAACAATGACAGATTTGACATTTGTTAAGTGATTGGGATCAAATCCGTTACCACTAAGTTTTTAAAGATATTTTCCCAATAATATAATTTTTTTATATTCTTTTGTCTGCCTGTTGCTATGTTTTGTAAGTTAATTTTATAGCACGTTGACAAAGAAGTTCATAATAATTTGACAAAAAGTCTTCTATTAATCATATTCTGAAGATCATTCACAACATGAAGCAAAGAAATTTAGAAAGTCCAGATGCCAAACCTTGTTTTGATAAGATTATCAAAATTTTGTCATATAACAGAATTAACGAAAATTAAATTTAACCAGGACAAATAACTAAAATGAATTACGGAAAGATTACGAGCTACAGTGACTAAAGTAACAATATGCAATCCGACAAACAATGCCTCGAAAATTTTCCACTGGTCTCTCTGGGAACCATTATTTAGTAGCAAAAATCTTTTTGGTACTCTTCTGTTATCGAGATCGGATTCAGAAATGTATGTATGCATGCATAGGTGCATGTGTGTTATGTATGTGCACATATGTGTACGTACAAACATACAGTGAGCACATAAACACATACATTTCTAAATCTGGTGCCGATAACAGAAAAGTACAAACTGAATCTAGTAACTTTCTTTTCCATAGTTACTCACAGTGACACTCTGGAGCAATACCAAAGTCAGAGGTAGTGGTGTTAATGTGAAGGTATGAACAATATGTATTCAAATATTTATACATTCAATGACTAATTTATTAATCAGAAGTTACTGAGCAGATTACAAAAGGTTCCTCCAGATGTTAGGGAATCTATAAAATACAATGCTTTGAGAAAATAATTAGGTGAAAATCATGCCAATGCTTTTAAAGTCCATCAGCTTAAAATTTGTTTATAATACATAATTCAGCATATGAATAATGCTAAGCAATCATCGTAACTATCGATTCATTAAATAACTTGAAAATAACCTTACACAGAAATAAAACTTTGGTAGACCAAAATATGCAGATGTACGAAAAGAATTCTTCACTACACAACCGAGTCGATAATACAAAATAAATAAAAATAAGATCTCTTCCAAATTTGAAGTCTTCCATCATTAATTAAATTATATTTTTTTGATATGGGAAAGGGTAAAATGTTTACACATGCACATAAAAAAATTTACCAATCTTAAAAATCCACTAAGCCTAAAACGAATGGGAATTTAATGTTTTCATCATCCAAATTTTATTTGAGAAATAAAGAGAAGCTTCACAGATGACTCCTAAACATATTACAGATTTCTTCCTCTTACTCTTTTATTAATCTTCTATCAGGGGGAACTTATTAAAAGAATCAACTATCATACCGGCTACCGGTTCAGCATTTTAGCTTTAACTATCACTCTATAATATCAGAAACAAATTATTACCTGCACACGATCTTGTTTTCCATATTTTTAGTAATAAAATTATAATAGCGAGAAGGTGAGACAAATCTCCCGCTAATCGAAAAACATTCATTTTGTATTAACAATTTATTAACCAACAATCAAGTCGGCGGCAGAGTTGGCAGGCATTCACTACCGTGACGTGGCTTGACATAAACAAGCATTGTGGGTACAAAAGGCTTCTTCACGTAGCAAATGGCATCAAATTTTCAACTTTTTAAATTCTAATATTGCTCCCATTGTAAAATGTATCTAATCAGCGTCTGCAATGGATAGAGATGTTAAGGGTTTCTTGGAAACCGAAATCGCTAAAGAAATAAATATTCGAGAATAAATCTAAAAGTCTTGTTTAGCGCTCAGACCCGTGGATCTTTATTAACGTAACTCTTATTTCAGAAATCAAACTAAGGTAAAATTGAAAATGAGTTATCCAGCAAAATCATTTTAGAATGAGTGTAGAAAAAATATGTTATAAATTTCATATTTATTAAGATTTTCCACAGCCATCTGATTGGAATTTATGATATTTTCTGAGCCTACTATTACATGACATTTTGTACAGAATACTTAAGTTAACATACCATATTTTGTAAGTAAAAAAATAACTCCTCAGAATTCATAGAAATTCAGTCCAAGGATGGAGATTTCAAGTTGTTCTGCATCAGTTTCCGGAGGTTCCGTTCGTTTATTCCTGATGAGATTTGAAATTCGTCACTTATGGTAAATAAAACTTTAAGAAAAATCTCCTAGATAGAATAAATGATCGCTTTTTTACTTTTTAATTGTGAATGAAACTCAATTTTCTTTTTTAAATATATGAGGATGGAACAGTGAATTATTTATAAAGTTTAATATTCCCCTCCCCCTTCTGCTGACCTTTTTATTGTGTATTATTAAAATTAGCAAAATTAGCAAAGTAAGCAAACTTCAGTGAAAGTTGTTACATAAATTATCACTTGTGTAATATGTGTAACATGAATATGAACCTAGAAAATTCTACATAAGTAGTAAGGTCACCTTTTTGTGCTTTGTCATTTTCAAATCACAAAAAATAATTATCAAACCTATGCACCAAGTTTTAGAGATTGTATTTTGTTTTGTGGCAGCATATGCTATTCATTGATTATTTTGAATTTTATGGCGTGTGCTTTAAAGTGAATTTTTAAAACTTTACAAGTATTTCATAAGTTTTGCAATGGTTGTGTGCCGTTATTATTTACAGGGTATTTGCCGTTTTGGTGATAGATGCCGTTACGAGCATCCGGAACCTGATAATGCATTTAATAAATATGAATATCAGAATAGACAAAGTTATGATACGCAAAATCGGGCGATGCCCCGACAGCAGAGATCCAGTCGTTATGATCAGCATTTTAACCAAACTCAAAATTTTGAGTCATTCAGTAGGTATGGTCAAAATCAGCACTATAACTCACCTAATAGATACGATACGAATCAGCGTTATATCTCGCCAGACAGATATGTAGAAAGATATAGTTCACCTGCTTTTGTACAGAACGAAAGATACGTTTCATCGGACAAGTATTCACACAATAATTATAATCAAAATCGTCGGCAGGACACTGACAGATATGGATTACAAAGCACGGAAACTTACAGGTCTTGGAACAATCAGAATTATACAGCTGATAAAACTAATGAAGAAGTTCCTTATAGAAGACGGAATTTGTCTAATGATGGTTGTAAGTATTTGAGTTCATTAGTTTAGTTTTTTGGAACTAGTAATTTCAACTCATGGTATCTGAATATTAACCTTCTTTTTTAATAATTTCCGATTTGAATAAATTCGATTAATCTTGTAGTTGGCGATTTTCGGCGAAATATTTATTTGACAACAATTATAAAGTGGATAATCAATGAAATATGGTAGCTTGTTTCAGTACTGAAAGAAGAAAGGGCTCTAGTGTACAATTGGGTGCCCCTTCGATTAGTGACAATTTTTTTTTTAAATTTTGGCTATGAAACCTCATTTCTGGTTACCATGATAGTTATAACTTTGTTTTAGCATCTTGATTTTTTTAAATGAAAATGTATTGATGTGTCCATGGGCAAATTTAAGGCAGTCCGCAATGCCTAGTTTGTGCAATTCTGGGGCAATTTCATCCGCAGAGAACCCGTTGGCGCCATTGAATTTTTACTCACCAAGCTTGAGCCGAGCCATAAATGTGATATTTTGTAAACATGATTTTTAGTGCATGTAAATAGCAGACAAAAAAATATATTAAGCATATGGTAGTAAATCCCAGAATTGCACAAACTTGCATTGCGCACTGCCTTTACTTTGTCCATGTACACATCGATATATTTTCACTTAAAAAGTCAAAGGAGCACCAAAGTCTACAATATAGGCAAACAAAATATGCAAAATCTCTATAAAATACATTTTAAACCAAACAATAAAATAACATAAAAAAGGAAAAACATGTTATACATTTAAGCACTACCAAAAGCAAATATTCACTTACCATGATTTTCGAGTTCGCTTTGTGCACCAGAGCCACGTAAAAATCAAAATATCAATCATACTCAAATGACTTTTTTCAAACCACATGCTCTTTCTGATCGAATGCTTTGCATAGTGACCATCTGAACCTTTCTTCCTACGAACCCATTCAAATCCATCTAAACGGTTTTTACGTTCGACTAAACGCATATCCTTCCTACATACAGGATACTTATAATGGCTACTAAGTTAACCTTCATTTACACATCACTCAATTAAAGCTCTTTTCCCCTTTCGCTCCAAATCATACAGAAATTTCAAATTAATCTTACTACGTTCGGCCATTCTACCGTCTAAAGAATCAAACCAACACACACCACAAAAACGCTTACAAAACATCACACGATTCAAAATTTCCCAGAATCATAGACCCGATTACGTCACAATAGGGTTTCCGTAACATTCAACTACTCAGGCTACCACAAATCAAACAACTTGGCGATAAATCAAACAACAATTTCGCCATAATACAAGGGGTACCTTAAAGTCTACTCTACCCAAAAATTTATCTTAAATTCCAGTTAGCGCAGAAAACAATATATTCCTTATACCAGCAATGGTTTGCTAATTTTGATGACCATGGGGATACATGAAACTATTCTGTCATCTTAAATAATCAATAATATTTTTTATTTCAATTTAATCATCTATTTATGCCATACCTACCATCATCTGAAAGGTTATTGTTAGAAAAGCATTAACAATATACACTAACTTCTAAAAGCATGAAGAGGAAAATGCTAATTTCCAGAAGCCAATCAGAATTGAAGAGGATGCAATTCACTGCAGAGGTAGGTGGAAGTATGCAAATATGTTAGGTAACAGCCAGTCATGCTTTCATATTAAGACATATGCAAAAAGAGGCAGTCTTATAAGAAGCCAGCTTACAGATGTTGATTGTAAGTGCTGATAGAAGTGTTTTAAACTTTCATACAATTTGTTTTCAAGACATACATGTTTCTACGACTTCCTGAAGACAAATGGAAGATTCTGAGCGCTGGCGTGCTGTGGGGCACATTGAAGCAGGACAGTCGATCACAGATGTTGCTCTTTTCTTCGGCGTTCATCATTCTGTAATTTCACGCTTATGGAAACAATTCCAAACCACACAGACAGTTGTCCGAAGGCCCAGTCGCCCAAGGGTTACAACCCCCGTGGAATATCTATATATTGCTATTGTAGCCAAGTGGAATCGCAGAGTAGCCTCCACACGTGTGACATCTATGGTTACAGCGTCCATTGGTAAGGCGATATCTGCAGCTACTGTATGCCGAAGATTACATATAAGTTTACGGTATGCCCGGGTACCTCGAGTTTGTGTTCCTCTATCCGTCCAATCAAGAGGGCCACGATTACAGTGGTGCCGGGAACATGTCAATTGGAATGTGTCTGACTGAGGCAATGTCATGTTTACTGATGAGTCACAATTTGCTCTGGAGCTAGATGACAAGCATATAAGATTATAGCGTGAACAAGGAACATGCAATCAGTCCCAAAACATCACCGAACATCACACATTCTAAGGCCCAAGCATTATGGTGTTTCTCAGGGATTTCATTAGGATACTGCACCGACCTGCACATCTTTAAACGGGGTTCTTTGATGGCTGTCCAGTATTGAGATGACGTCCTAGAATCCATTGTGAGATTGTACACTGCAGCAGTTGGTACTACTTTTGTTTTAATGGATGATAACACACGTCCCTATAGAGCTGACATCGTCAATGGCTACTTGGAGAGTGAAGGGATTGCGCATATGGCGTGGCCAGCATATTCGCCTGACCTTAATCCCATTGAAAATCTTTGGGATGCTCTCAGCTGTGCTGTATCTTTATGTTTCCCACCTCCAACTACTCTTATTGAGCTGGAAACTGCTCTACAAGAAGAATAGCGATTGCTTAATTCTGCGGTGGTTGACCACCTAATTGAAAGGATGGTCATAAGGTGTAAACTTTGTATACAGATGAGGGGGATCACATACTATATCAATTTTATCAATCTATTTCATTTTGTGCTGTTTATTTTCACTTTATACGTAATTCTGTTTAAGTCTCCAGTATGTCATTATCTGATAACTTACACAAATTTAATATTGTTTTCATTTCTGTATATAATTATTGATTTTGTTTTATGCATAAATATATATGCTACTTTCCTGCCGAATTTTGTGTCAATCAAAAGCAGTATTGTGGAAACCTCATGGTTCTGCAGGCTTACAGCTATTAATAATTAAGAACACAACATGAACAGCCGTGTTACAAATTAGCATTCACCCCTCCCGCCATATTTTCTCCCTTTCATCCTGAAATGACAAACCAAGAACTGACAGCTATCTACAAAACCTTCTTTACTTATACGAAAATATTTCTATCTATTCGTTGTTGAAAAATTCAGAAAAAATAACGTAGAAAATCAGAAAAAATAATAATGAATAAGAGAAGAATAATATAAATCTGCAAATGCGAACAACGACGGTGATAATTCAACAAAATGAATGCAAGAGGAATGGTTGTAACCTTCCAACAAGCGAATAAGATAAATCTGCTGGATTACCAGGTTTGAACTATTATCACCAAAGTTGGCGATGTTTACATTTACCGGGTTCTCTGTGGAAGTGCTTCCAGATTTTTAAGTGAAAAATGATTGATGTATACATGGACACAGAGTTTGTGCAGTTCTTTGACTTCTTATTTCTGCATTTATACTTGCAATCTGCAGCATCTAAAGTATGCAGAGAGTGAATGATACTTCAGTTTAGATTCATTTCTTCATCCACCGGTGATTGCCAGTTAGTGAAAAGGAATGATTATAAATAACTGTTTCAAATTCTTGCAAATTTAATAAATGCCTCAACATCAACAAAACAACATCAGTTTTATTTTGTTGTTGAGTACAATTATATTTAAACTCCCGATTTGGCTGTCACAAGAGGAACTGCAAAATTCAGCAGGTTCTTTTTCCTTAAGTATTGGAACCAGTTTGAATGGCAGGTTTCCTCAAATAAGAGAATTTTTTTTTTTTTTTTCTCTGCGTTGGACCAGTCAAAAAGAGGAAAGAATCATGGGATCAAGTACATGTAATTCCTGCAAGATGTTTCATCTGATTAGTTGTGGGAGTTTGTTTTCCAGCCTGATACCAACTTCAATTTCCTTTGACTTTTGTTCTAGATTTCTGCAAGCATTGGAAACCTAGCAGGGTTTATTATGTTTTTGATTTTTATAAGCTTCGATTTTGTTGCTCATTTCAGATTTTTCCTCAATTTGGTCAGTGATAAGGGGGTCTTGCCCATACCCTTTGTTTAACCCTCTAAGCGGCAGGGCCGTATATATACGGCCTAGAATATTTATTGTGATATTTGTAAGAACGTATATATACGTGCATATTAAAATATGTCAACGAAATTAAGGCAATATATCAAAAGAAAACAAATCCAGGTATGAAATACCAGGAGGGTTTTTACATTAAAATAAAAAAATAATTTATTCTCATAGTAGTTTTGGGAAATTTGTGCTTTCTTAGCAAAAACCTTGGCCGCCCAGAGGGTTAAATTTGCCTCTAATTTGCTAATCTTTTGTTTCTGCTGTTTGCTTGTTTATTTGTTAAAAAATGTCTTGCATGTCATAATTACACTTAGACTTACTTTAGTCTTTCTGTGTCTTTCTGTGAATGAATTTTTTATGTCAGGTTTTCTTTTGTATTATTTCGGATAAGTTAGTATGCTCAATAAATGTTTCCAGTAATTAAAAATGTTCTTTGAGTATACAGGTTTCAGATATGATAACAACATCCTCAAATTATAAGCCTTTAAGAGAATTTAACTGAAACCTTATGTGAAATCTTTATGTAAAATCTTAGCTAAGCTTAACATTTAATTTGCAAAACTTTTTGTGCTAGACTAGAGGTTTGCTACGGGGCCACTATTACCTCCCAGGGGAGTCAATAATAATCAAGGGGTTGATAGCAGAATATGCTTTGTCAATTGGTCGTAATCTGGATCCCATTGATTACAAAAAGTTTTATTAACATATTTGATAATTGTTTGATATAAAGCTATATCATATAGTAAGTATAAATGGAAAATTATTTATTATATGGTGAAAATCGTTTAACACGAAATTGACGGGACTGAAATATTTTTTCGTGTTAAAGGGTATTTTGGAAAATATATATATATGTATAT